AACACAATCCCCCCTATCACTTCATCCGGTTGATACGGATAGGGGACCACTCGTTGGGTCTGATTAGCCGGACCAGCTTCCTCCCCCGGGGAAGCGACTGGATCTCCAGAAGTTTGGGAGGAGTCGGCCGCCTCTGGGTTTACTGGTCCAGCTCTAGGTTGAGTCACAGACGTGCCCGTTTCAACAGACGTGCCCGGCACAGACGAAGATCCCAACAGGATATCGATTTCTCTGGGATCCTCTATCCACGGGGCCGAGTTGACTTGGCCGGAAGGGGCCGGAAGAGGCAGTCCTTGACCTTCCCCCACACAAAAAATTATAAAAGGGAAAAGATCCCCCCAATGAAGACCAAAGCGAGAAAGTAAGTAGATGCGGAGAAAGCACCCAAGAAAAGAGATGATATTTATTATATCAATATATAGAAGTATAAGTCGAAAGCTTGACCCTTTCTTTTTGAAAAAGAAGAAGCAAGACGAAAGATCAAGATTAATAAAAAAATAAAGATTGATAAAAGCACGAGATTTTTAGTAGTGGTCATTATAGCGGTTCCTTCTGATCCTATAAAACGTCCAAATGCATTTGCTAGAAAAAGACCGAAAGTACTTGCGATTAAAGAAAGAATATGATTAAGATAGAGTCTGACCGAAATCGGATTTCCTTTGCGTACCATATGCCCTTGCAGTCTTTTTCCCATCTCTCTTCCCGATCCAATGTGTAAGTAATCTACCAGAACTGACAAAAGAAGAGCATTTGACCTTCTTACCTGGTAGAACCTAGTGAAGTACTTCTGAACCTCTTTCTACGCTTTCTTCTCTTATGCAATTTCGAGTTAGAAGTTCACTCCGCTGTTCTCAAGGCATTTCAGAGTAAGCCTACCTTCTTATACACGCGAGGCTAGAAGGGCATAAGAAAGGGTGTGCGAGTGACAGGCTAACTGGGTTCTCTCCAACTACCTATCCAGCAGGGCAGAAGGGAGTGTGGGATTGGGTCTATCCGCTAAAGTAAGAGCTCTTCATCTTGGGCGCAATAAATCACCAAAGAAGGTGGGCAAGTTCACCAGAAAGGTCAAAGTACCATGGCGCACTCGGGCATCTTGGTGCCTTGAGCTGGGAAAACTCCTCAATCGCAATCGCGGGTATGGGATCGATTTCATTTAAGATGCCCTTCTCATTCCGTGAAGGCCTTTCCCACTCTTGACAAAGGGCTTCCATTGGGTGAAAAAGTGTAGTTCTCTTTTAAAGCTCCTTCTCTCTTCTCCTTTTCCTGACTTTCTACTCCGGCTACAGAGCCTTATAAATGCCATGAAGCTTAGCCGAACTACTTGGCTTTGGCTCGGCTCAAAGAAAGAACTGGGTCACTGAGCGAACTCCCTTTTGAGGTAAGAAGAGCTCCTATTTGAACTAACATCGGATACCTGCTTTAAGAAGACTTGCTAAAGGGAGCGATCCTCCTGTCTCTCTTCTGGCTTTGTAAATCCGAGATTGGATTGAGAGAAAAGGTTACCCCTTTTTGAGGAGCTCTTATTAAAGTATCGTCGAGAGATGGGAAATTGATCAAAAGCCCGGCACTGAGACAATTCACTTTGAGTACAGGGAAGCCCGCTGGTAGGAATTCTTCAGGGCGTAGAGATTCTATCTCGAGTTACCGTCGCATCAATAGGAAGCACCGGTTACTAGAGCTTTTTAAGCAAGAGCGTCTGATTGAACAAAAGCCATTCTTGAACAACGGCTATAGCACCAGCTTCCCCCTGATCTGACTAATCTTTCATTTTCTCGGGATTTTTGCTTGCAATCCGATTTCCCTCCTAAGTGAGACTTCAATGGTGACATTGGAGCGTTTTCCCCGTGATTTTGGTATCAAGTCAATTTCCCTTCCTAGACGTCAATTGAAATCGGACAACTTTAGAAAACAGCGTGTTTTTCGTCTAAATGCATTTTCCCTTCCTAAGTGACATAAAAAGAGTGCCACTTTCATGAAACCCCCGTCTTTTTCCTCATAAAGAGGAAAGAGCAAAGAAAACAGAAGATAGCACTGGAGAATCGGCCACCCTAGAAGATAGGTTTGCCAGAAAGACCGATTAGCCAAGAGTGCACCCCCTTGTATTTTCTTTTCGGCAGATCAGCTACGAAACCCTCTTTGTTTCCGGATAGGTCTTTCTTAGGCTTCTTTCTGGTGAATGAGCCGGGTTCTTCAATTCCTCTTTCTCATTAAGAAACTAATCTTCCCTGGTCTAAGGAAACAGGAACAGGATGTGAGGCTTCGCCGATTGAAGAATGTGATTTTTCTTTTTCTATAGCTGAAATGAACCTTCTTTTGAGAGGGAGGACAAGTCCAACATTTCCCTTCCCGCCGAGTAAGTCAATTTGCTTCCTTTGTCTCACGCAGGAAAGCATGAACTCCAGTTAGTCTGATGCGTAGAATCAGCTTCTGAGAATCTTCTTCCGAGAATTGAATATGGAAGAGAGCTCGAGCTCCTTCGTCCTAATCTTTTCGATGTTGTTGACAGAGAGGGTTTGAGGTTTCAATATCCTACTACGAATGAATTGCCTTCTTTGCAAGAGCCTAAATCCTGATATTCCGCAATTTCCAATCCCTGCAGCAGGATGGGATTCCGCACTTGTTGTTCTGTCCTGGCGCTTTCTTTATTAGTAAGATCCGGGGGTAGGATTCTTGAATAGTCTCCATCAGCTCAACCAAGAAAGTGTGTTGTTTTGAGTAGTCATTTAGGTGGTAACAGGAGCAGCGTCAAAGTATACCTTTGAAAGTGAATTGCAAGGGTCAGGCACAAATGCATTACTAAAGAATAACCAACCAGAATAACTGGGAGCGTGGAAAGAAGGATTGGTCCTAGGGCAGGATGCCTGGGAAAACAATCCCAAGGGAAGCTTCTCGCTAGTATTACGAGTGCCGAACGCACTTCCTGATCGGTAGCGGATCAAGCTCTGACGTGGAATCACTTAAGAGAGAGAATGGGCACCACCCCAAGGCATAAAAGGTCTCAAGCAAGCGTTTTCGTTTGCTTTGGTGGGTACGGAGCTTCTCCTTGTCTTGGCCCATGCTTCCCATCCATCGACTCAGGATTTGAATCAAAATCGGATACTCTTTTTTGTGGTTGGATTGAGTTCCGTCGAGATCTTCCACCCCAGTATTAGCATATCGCCCTTCTCAAAGCCATCGGATTGGGATTAGCTAGTAGAATGGTTCCATAGTCCTGTCATTCATTGATCCTGGCTGGGTCTATAGATAGAGCAAAGGAAGAAGTCGCAACAAAGAGCAGCTTGACTGCAGCTCCACGGTCTGTAGATCTGATAGTTGCCTTTCTTTTTGGTTTGAGGAAAAAAAATCCTATGGGTGAAGGGCTACTCACATGCCACGTCTCGCCGATTACTGACCCATCTCATCTTTACCACTTCGGTATATGCTAAAAATAGGGAGTTTTATAACTGGTCGAGGCTTAGAGTGGCCGTCTTCGACACCTCCTAATCCTACTATTAACTATTACGGCTAGTGCGCTATTGGTGTCCGGGCAGAGTAGGGGACGGAAGCGGAAGAGCTAAACCTCACCACACCAAGCTATGGGTGCAACAATAGATGCTTATCATCATAAGCTCTTTTATATTATCCTCCTATCCCCTTTTGAAAGAGAAAAGAGTATTCTACGGAACCAACTCCTTTCACAACGGAGAAAGAAGACCGGGCAAGTCTCTACTCTTTCATTCGTCCTAAGAGGAAGTTTCACTCGGTAGGCTAAGGCAAAGTAGTTCAAGTGAGGCCTTGGGGGGACATAGTCAACATCAGAACTCGGAGGTTCCCTTGGAGCTTGAATGCTAGGACTAGTAGTTCCTCTTCTGTGTGCTTCGAAGTAAGGGAATTACATATTAGACGCTGACGGAGATGCCTTCTTTCCTGACCTTGTTCCAGGAGCTGGCCATGAGTCTCCCGCGGATTCAGTAATTAGTTCTGTGAGCACATCCCCAACATATGGAGAAAGGATGGGAGGTTCACTTTGACTTCTTGATTTCCTATCAACAAAGTACCCCACTGCTGTCCTAAGAAGCTCCATACCATAGGATCTGAACTCTTGTCTCTGCCTAAAGCCTAAAGTTGGTCCCCGGTAACAAGAGTATAAAGTGGTTCTTCCCTCCCCTGATGATCTAGCTTGTCGGTCTGTGTCCTTTGGCCTCTGAGGCGTAAGCACTCGCTGCCCTAAGAAGCAGGTCCCACTCCGTCCAAAGCTTCTTATAGCTCTTCGGCTGGCTAAGCAGGTTCAACCCCAACTCCAAAGGCTGGTTCAACTCCGGCTTGATCAGATGGTTGGCTTGGAGAAGAAAGAGAAGAAGCGAGACCAAGAAGAAGAAGAGGCAAGGGCAAGAAGATCAGAAGCTAATCCTTGTCCGGGAAAGGCGTATTAGAAAGGATGTCCCCCCATAAGAGCTTCAGAGGGAAGGTACGCCCAGCATCTCCTTTCATTGATTCTTGATCACCTGCCACCCGAAACCTCTATCTCCATGGAATCAAAGGTCAAGGCAGTCAGTGCTTAGCTTAGGCAGCCCTAGTCTTGTATGGATATCAAACCGTACAAGTAGTCAAATTTGTAGTATAAGCGGATTGTCCTTTCGTCAGGGATGGAAGTCAATTCTATAGTGACGTTCTAGCTAATAATACAAGTTTTCTTCCCTGGATAATTCAATAGAGCTTATAGAATCAAAGAACGTTGAAAAAGCAAAGACCACAGCTTTAAAGCTGCATCTCTTTCTTTAGGAGACCGACTTGATAATGGTGCTTGCTGCCTTGCGGCTTGCCGACTGCTTGCGCCGAAACCCACCTGCTTGACCCCTGCCTTACAGCTTCACAACCTTCTCCTTCTGTCCGCTTCACTCACTTCCATCTTCTAAAGAAAGGTAGCAGCTATCATAGCAAGAGCTTTGAGATCGTCTCAAGAAGTCAAAGCCCACTTCTTGCTCATTCACAAGCAGGAAAGCGCACCTCCAACAGCACCTCCCTCCTTGGGAGCAGCTTCCTTGATAACGTCCTCAACCCTATCTCTCATGGGCCAATCAAGAGAAGACAAAGAAGCATGAAATCCCTCTGCCCAGGGTCCAAGATCATGAGATAGAACCCGATAGGTCCTTCACCTTACAAGCCAGTCCGAAGAAGCAAGCTAAGCCAGAAAGAAGAAGCCAAGCCAGCAAGAACAAGAAATGAAGACTTGACGCATCCATCTGCAGTACATGATTTGAGCCTATACCCCTCCAACGCAAAGCAAGAGAGGCTAGCGAATAAGCAGACGAGGACTCTACTACCCAAAGACAGCTGCTACTGGAGAAGAAAATAGGACTCAGGAGTGGAACGGAGCGGAAGAGTTTTGGAAAAAGGCTCTAGAGAGAAGGGTGTAGTAAGCTAGAGATTTTGAATCTGTCTTTGTTCCAGAGGGGAATGAGTGTTGATGGATTGCCCACGGGGCAGGGACGAGATCTCTTTCCTCTGGCATACAGTGACCTTCCATGCATGGATTAAAAGCATTGAATCGACCGAAAGAAGTGCCCCTTCCTTTAGTGTGGAGGGGGGACCTTGACTCTCCCAGTCATGTCAATCATTGCGATTGGCCGAAGACTAAAGCGAAGAGTGAATGAGAAGATCAAAAAGAGTGACTCAGGACCGGACGTTAGAGTTGTGGTGTGAGAAAGCGGAAGCAGATATGACATATCCTCCGAAAGCTGGAAGGTAGCTACACGCCAAGAGATTGACTGGGCAAGGAAGTCGAATCTCGGAGTTAGTTCAAGCTTTCAGAGCGGTAGCAAGAAAGACAAGAGCAAGGTAAGATGCCGTGGTGATCTAAGCCGTCAACGAGCAATTCGTCTCAGTTGAATCCAAAGAAAGAGGGCCTAAATGGAAGAGCGTATTTGTTGAAAAAGGAGGTTTTCGTTCAGAAGGCTCTAGGGCTCCTCGTTTCCGAGAAGAATAAAACAGGAGGATGGGGCTTGGGATCGGATCTTCTAAGGCGGACTTTGCCGGGTATGAAGGAATGAGGAGCGCGAAGGGTTAGAGCTTTGGGAGTGCTTTCAAGTCTAAAGGTTAAAAAGCCTTCGTCCTAATCCCTGGGAAGGGACTGGCTTAAGGAAGTTGAGTTGGTTAGGCAGATAGTTGTTAAAAGATGTTAGTAGTAGCTTGATAGGACCTACTTGGCTTAGGTTGTTGAAGCGATAAGACCAACAGCACTTTGTATTGACTTAATGCTCAAATCAGAATGAGTTCGTTATTTTCCTAATAAAGGAAAGGCAGAGCATACCCAATGAGCGAAGGAAGGAGTTACGAAGCCAAGATCTTAGTTTGAGCTAGGGAGCTTCGGTCTTGGTCAATCCTCGAGTCAATCAATCCTGGTCCTTTTTTCGGGGCGATATCTGCGAGAATATGTATATGTGCTCCTCACCTTACCGGGTGTTTCGGGTAATTCCAATCGTGCCATCAAAATAGGTTATTTGAAAGTGAAGAAGAACAGAACGCGGGAAATCGGTAACCTAACCTGAACTTAAGGTGAACATTACATTCATAGAGTAAGGGGCTGTAACTATGAATATATTGTTTAAGGGGCTGGGCCTAGGTCAAGTTATGGCTTAAAGTCTCTTGGAGCTGTTCTTCATCAATCCCCGTTTAGAGATAGACTTTAACTGAAAAAAACGGATTTAAGGGAATGACTGGAATTAATTCCACTATATCAATAGCAAGAAGAAAGGAATGGCTGACACAATCAGTAGCCGTTGGCGTTGGAGGAGCAGCTGCGGGCGGTGGTTTAGTTCTTTCATTAATATATATATACCCGCCGGTCAATACGGTACGTCGGTTTCATTCCTTCTATTCAACATATAAAGTATGCTGCTTAGTTCATCTGCTAGCTCGCCTTCTTCTTCTAGTTCTAGCTAGCTGGTTGCTGCGACATAAGGAAAACGTTGGGTAGTTTTTGAGGATTTGGACTTTGATGGGGATTTAGGGATAACACATGCATATGAATAAGCAGAATTCTCAATAGCATTGGAAAAAGTACCAACATAATAAGAATTAAGGAATATTAACAACAACATACTAATTTTAGGGTAAAGTAGTAGTTAACCACTAATCCAATTATAGAGGTAGAGGAGGAAATAACGGTAAATAATAATAATGGTAAACCAGAGCCACCGGTTGGCGGGACTTCCAACTTCCAAAAGAGGAAGGTACGATCCATCAAATTGATTCATGAGAGGGGGTGGAATCTTTCCTGTAGTAGTTGGAGTTGGAGGTGTGGCACACCAGCTGGATCCTTATGTATAAATGAAATGTATTTGCCGGTTGGCTGGTCAACGGTTGAGCTGTCTGGTCAATCCAGTTCTTCTTTTATAAAATAGATGCCGGTCTGAGCTCTCTTGCTTGGGGTCCTCCGTTTACCAAATCAATATCTCCACTACGGTACACTCATCCATTTGATGGAACATCTATTCCCTTTCGAGCTGTCAAATCAGAGTACGGAGGTACGGCTGTAGCGAAACAAGAATTATTATTATTGTATGTAATATACCCCGCACCACGCTCATTCCTTAATTCAAGTGGAAGTGGCATCTGCCCCTGGAATATGTCATACTCTTCCCGTCCAAAATGACTGTCTTGAATTAGTTCCTCTATCTTTCTTTCCCTGAAGCAGCAAGAAGTACACATGAATCGATTTCTGGTAATTCAATATACCCTTCGAGATCTCTTTTGAAGGTGCAAAATATAGAATCTATAATAAATAGAAGTTTAATCTGCTTATGGTATTTTTTAAAACATTGGCTCAATCTTCATCTCTGTCTTTTCCAAAAAATGGATATTTTCTTCCGGTCTCTGGTCTCCGGGCTTTCCATCCGTCCACGTCTATTTTATGTGTGAATCCATCCCGACTTCGCCCTTTTGTTAGCAGCTCTTCGATCCACCTAGGAAAGGTCTCCGAGGCCATGTTTTATAATCCAAAAATTCACTTTCATGGCTTGAATTTTAAGCGTAGTTTTCCACTCTATAACTATATATATAACAAGGAGTGGAGCTGGAGAAGATCCCTCCCCGGCTAGGCTACTACGTTTTCGTGTTTGAAATTCCAGGTCTGGTCTTCATTGGTATTTGCTTTTTACTCACTCACTACGTTTTTTTTTCTTTTTAGTTCTTCCCCCGCACGGGCGAGCTGTCTGAGGTCGATGGTGCATCCGGTAAGCTCTATCGGTATTCATCTCCAGAGCCCGGTCAGAGCTGACTTTCACGAATAAACCCCGGTAAGGTTACCTGCGTTCTTTGCTTAACCTAACCGGCCAGAAGGTTCCTTTACCGATAGCCGACCAGAGATCTAAGGGTTAAGGTTAGTTAGTTCTCTTTTCTCCGTCCGGTAATAGAATTTCTTTACCGATAGAGCAACCCGGAATCCTGTTCTTACTTTAAGAGCTGCAACCAAGACACTGACTTTAAGAGAAGGTTTTTTGGAATGGGAGCTACTTGGCCTTGCCTTCTATTCAGGTATTCAGGCTTGGGGTTCTCAGGAAAAGTCACTATGAGGAAAAGGAAGTGTGCACCAAGCAAGCAATGAAAGGAAGACTCACTTTTCTAACCCGGTAATAAGTCATTCCCTTCTGGAAATCAGTACTCTAGTTTATCCGATGTAGACAGGCATGCAAGGTAAAGGTTCACGTCTTCGTAACTAATCAAAGCATTGGAATGAAACCGTGGGCTTAAAGGTATATAGATAGCTTGGTTTTTGAATAGGTAAGACCTTTCTATAGAGGTGGTCGGGGTGGGCTAAGCTAATCAGCAGGCTTATTCAGACATGCTTATGGGCAGTGGGTAGATAGCAGATATTGATTCAAAACTCTTCCTTAGTGGCTTAGGCTTAGTCGACCTGAGGAGCTACAGACTTTAAGAAACTGCCATAGATTGCAGTTGACCTGACGTTATAACAGCTATCTAGTTCTACCAGCTATAAGCCGGAGATGGTCTCAGTCAGCTAATCGGAAGGCTTATCCGCACATGATAGCGGCATTCTGACCTAAAGGTAAAGGGCGTTCCCCGCGGGGCCTTACACACTCAGCTTGCAGGAAAACCGTGTCCTAGGCATATTGAATCTAGTCGCATAAAGGCAGAAAGAGAGAATGCCATGTTTAGATAGGTAAGCGTGTAGGGGAGTCTTACCCAGTTTAAACTTGAATGCCTGCAGTCAGGCAGCCTGGATGAACCTTGTAAGGGCCGTTGATGGAAATGGAAGTAGCCATTAAAGGAATAAAGAGCTGCTAAGCGCGCTATAAGAGAGAGACGTTTGACGATCTTTTCTATACCTATTGGCCTTTTTCGAGTTATCTTTCGCTCCTTGACCAAGAATTCGATTATATGAAAAAGTTTACCGCTAAAGAGAAGAGCTTCTTTCGCTTTTCCTGTACCTGACTCGGGTTTATAAACGTTCTTTGGCATAGTCTTTTTCCTCAACCAGGACTGGCAGCTTCCACAACTCTTTCAAAGCTAGGTGTAGGTAGCAAAGCTTTCGGCAAGGGAGTGGACAGAACCTTTGTTCGTACTGGAAGGCGAACCCTTCCATTGATTGAGGCCTTCAAGTTTTCCACTGGAAATTTATCCATGCCAAGCTTCATGCCTTTGTTTTGAACGACTTTCTAACAAGCTGTTGAACTTCCCGCCCCGGGATTGGGACTTATTGAAGTAGTCCAATCTGTTTCAAAATAAGATAAGCCAATCCTGGAAGAATAACAAAGGAATGATCAGCACTATCAGCCAGGATAGATATTAGACAGAACAGACTTTCCTAATATAAAGTCACGATCAGAAAGATTCCTGGATCTGGGATCGATTTCAACTCGGAGATAGCCGGGTCTATAGTAAGAGCCGCTTTGTGAACAGCATGGGATCCAGCAGTTTCGCTTGATTCTCTTGTCCCAGATTCGTTTCTTGTCTCAGATTCCAATTCCGGTGAAGAAAAAAGACTTAGTGAAACCCCGAGACTGCAGCTGCAAGAGATAGTTCAATTCCCTTGACAACCTTTCTAGCCCCTTTCTTATTAGGGAATATTGGGATTAGATTCCCTTGCCTCTTACTCTTATTCGAGTGAAACTTGAGGAGAACTCCTCTTTCTATGCCACCCTATCCTTATCTTATTAGATAAGCTTCAACTCCGATAACCGGAATGATTGCCTTGCATCTGGGTACTCAACAACTATTGGTTTAAGCCTTTAGCTCCTTAGCCTAAAATCCCGACTTTCCTAAAACGCCTATTCATGCTTTCTTACTATCCATCTTGATAAAATAGAAAAAAGGGAAATGAAGACTAGGCAAAATACCTAAAATAGAAAAAATCTAAAAGATCAAACAACTATATTATTGGGAAGTAGTACACCATAGTTCTAATCTTAGGATTACATATCGCTCATCGGCTCAGAGCTCCCAACTACGAAGCTCTTTTCTCGAGCGAGTCAACAATTCGTGGATCCATGGTTTGGATGAAGCTATGTACCCGGGTAGAGATGATTTGTCTCAAAGATGTTCCGCTCATCCAAGAATCTAATTGATCGGTAATTCGACCGACGACTCTAAGGGCATTAGCGCGGGCCTTCCATCTTACCGTGGCTATCTAGTCATTGACCCATTTGCTTGCGAAGCATATCATCGCTTCGTGCTATTCCCTTATGCATTGATGATTACTGATTCAAATTGCTGCAATAAGCCGCCTCCCCGCTACGAGGTTCGCGAGTACCTTTGTTACCGTGCCTTGACTATTTGGAAAAAAACTGGGCTTGCTTTTTATTTTGAAATGGCTGTGCCCTTGTATACTAAGGCCTTTGGTTCAGCGACGCCGCTCAATTGTATTCATCTCTGCGCCTGAGAGGAGAGGGCCAGGCAGACTTTTTCTGCTTATTATTCGAGGACCCCTTGAAAAGCAAGGGCGTAGAGAGGGGGAGCGCCCAGCTGCCAATGCATCTGCTATCTGGCAGACAGCACAAACTAAAGAATGAAAAGGTGGGTGATGGCTAAGTAAAGTCTCAACCTATAATGTAAAGGCCGGACTAAGGCCTGAAAGAGAGGATTTCCCTTTGCAAAGAACTCACCTTCCCCTCTAGCTTGACTAGACAAAAAGAAGGAAGCTATCTCTACGCTGGAGCCTTACAGAGACCTTTCCAATGGTGTTAAAAGGGAGCGAGCAGGAACTAAGGGGGGAATGTAACTGCTGTGACTACTGATACAAGAACGATACAAGCACAATAAATAACTGGGAGAAAGAAAGATGCACAAAGAAAGAAGCCGTGTCGGATCCAGGAAATCTGTGAATCAAAATCCGATTATGTGTATGTATAAGTAAACGAACCTGAATCCAAGGCCAACGGTCCAATCGAAAATGGAATCCTAATCTGATTCTGATAGAAAGATAAAAGAATATGAATTAGAATTCGAATCACAGTTCCAAAGCTTATGTCATCCATCACATAAGCTAAGACTTCTATACTCCCCATCTCCACGGGTTCATGGCTAAAATGTTTGGAATCGATAACATAGTGACACTTTCTCCATTTTCAACTCCCTGGTCACAGGATTGGGTGGACAATCTGGGTCTAGCTACATGATCTGAAAGGGGCACCCAAGGAGACATTCTATGTGGACTGACATTAGGTCTACATTCTTTAGGGCAAAGAACCCCCTCTTGATGCCAGTTTACTAGAATATTCTGCTCACTGCAGAGTTTGGTTTTTAGATATATACGTCAAGATTCCATACTTTGCCTCATTAGAGGCTTGGAAGCTTACCTTGCAGCAACTTGAGCGAGCTATTGATAAATGTCTGAGTATAGTTTATTGACTAATACTAGACTACGAAAGTGAGTGGATAAGGCAATAAGAAAAGAAAAGCACAAAAACTGCATAGAGCATACAGAAAAGATAATTGGTTGGATGAGATAGCTAACTAGGGCACTCATAAGTAATCAAGGTTCTGCCGCCTACGGGTGACGTGGTTCTTCGGCGACGCCAAAACAAAGACCAACGGTAGAGAGGAAGGAAAGGAACTTTACAGGCAGATAAGAGAGGCCCCTAAAGAAATAAAGATTCATAAGAAAGGAGAAAGTAAGAAAGTGAAGCTTCCTCCATTCCCGATAACTGGTCCCTGCCTTCGAGATGAGACCGGGCAGGCACATTTGTCTCAAATAAAACTCCAAGATAGATGGGATTACCAGCTTAGATCTCCTCGCCGCAACAAGCACCGTTTAGACAGATCAGACTGATTTAGTGAAGTATGCCATCAGTAGCAAAAGCAAAGGAGGAAGCGTAGGAGAGCTAGCCAGTTCCTTAGTTGAAGAAAAGGTTACTCCTCAAAAAGGGGTAACCTATGGCTATGGGTTATGTATTGCAGGTTAACCCTGCTCCACTAGTACCACTAGGCCGCATAGAGGAAGAAGCACTACGCTTAGGAATCAACAACACGAAAACTTTGCTATAAATTTCTCCCTTTCCTTATTGGGATCGGGACTAAGAAGAATGGTTGGGACAACAAATATCCATCTCATTCGTACTTTGGATACCCATATAACCATCGAAGACTGTTGAAGTGACTAATTCCTAGAAATTAAGGGATGTTGAGGACAAAAAAATTGTATTATTTATTTGACATGAATAGTTGAAGTGAATTCTCCTAAGAGAAAAGTGTGGATTATGGGAGTGTGTGACTTGGACTATTGTTTTGGCCGTGCAGATATATGCCTTTATCCGCCACATTGGAATTCACAACCAAATGTGTCTTTGTTCTAACCACTGCGTAAGCCGCATACATAGGATAGGCCGGTTCGTTTGAAGAGAATCTTTTCTATGATCAGACCCAATCATGTCGTGCATGAGCAGGCTCCGTAAAATCCAGTAGAGTAAGTGATGTAGTAGAATCCATATTGTATTTTTTTAGCTATTTTACCTACTTAGTTTTATTTATTTCATTTACTTAATACTTAATAGTATGGAAATGCATCCTCTGCATTGAACCGATTTATGATACTATCGGAGTGAAACAAGGGATCTAAAGAATGACCGAGGCTAAACTCTATTAGTAACAAGTAAATTCTTTGTATGTAAAAAGTATCGATATTTTTTGGAGATAAAGGCCAATTGAAAGGTCTAAGACGTCCCAACAAGCACTTGGTTATGATCAGTGAAAAACTGCTCGAGACTCAACCAGGGATTCCACTCTTCTCGGGCACAGAGAAAACTTCTCTTGTCTGGCCTATCCCCAAAAAAGTGGTTGCCCTTTAATACGCTGCTACTACAGCCCTTTCCTTTTTAGGGAAAGCCTTCTCAAGGGGACCGAAGTATAAAAGAGTGTAATCCTTTCCCTGTCTGATGAACTTCTTTTGGAACCACCAGCTAGCCGACTTCGACTTTAGTTGCCTAGCCTTCCAACGGTAACTGACCCCATCCCCTATTTTCTATTTCCTCCCCAAATTTATAACTGTAATGACTGAACTAGATTATCCCTAGCTCCAATGCATTGTAAAGAATTAAGTCAAGACCTTGCCGATGACTACATTCCTTTAAAAAATGGACAACTTTCGTGTAGTTTGTAATTGGATGTAATAAATCTCTCTTCTCTTAAAAAATTAGGGAAAGGGCTTTTTTTATTTTATAGAGGTTGATTAAATTAAGGGGGGCGGAGCTTGAGGCTTCTCAGCCGCAGGAACAGGGAACCAATCCTCCAAAAATGGAATGAGTTCGCAATTACTACCACAAGAGAAGCCGCCCCCTCATCACTTACCGCTATTTTTTATTGGGTTCTGGGGGAATTCAAAACATTTTTTCTGGCCTTCCTTTATATTGATGAAGAGGTGACCTCGTGCTCTTCAAGAAATGAAGGCAAAGGCCCCCCGAGCCCGAGGGGGATCTTGGAGGGCACCAAATCCAGTTTTTTCCTCCCTGAGGGGCGAAACAAAAAGTCTTCAAAAGAGGCGCCGGAGGCCTCAATCAAACTCATCCGGAGTTGGAGAACTAAATAAAAAAAGACTTTCTCAACAGGAATGCATAAAAAAAAACTGCCCTTCCATATAGATCGTCGTGGCATGAACTCATTTCTGCCTTTCCCCACTCCTGCCCGAAATCCAGCTGGGGTGGGCTTCCCTCAAGGTGACGCCGAATTTCATTACCTTTTGTGCGCCTCTCACCTCCTCCATGAGGATGATCCACTGAATTCATTGCAACACCACGAACAATGGGGCGTCTGCCTAACCACCGGCTTTATCCTGCTTTCGTGCATCATGGTTGGGATTGGAAACTATACCAATAGTAGCTCGGCATCGGGAATCAATGACTTTTTCAACACCCGAAGGTAGCCGCACAAGCCTAAGAGAGAGTGTAGGGGGTGCTGGTTCCTTCATTATTTTAGCTAAAGTTCCTGCGGCTCGAGCCAGCCTTGGCCTGAATGACATTTAATATAATGTAACCATCTTCCTATACGTATATCGACTACTGGTATGCGATTTCTATTTTCGAATTTAGAGAGAGTCTCGCCTGTCTATAAGCAGGGGAGGCGTGGCCAAGAAGCAGCCAGCTGACTGCCCCCTTCCACTCGGCCTTTCTTCGCTGTGTGAATAAGGTCTTAGTATGAATGGGCATTCCGGGCGGGTCGCAATAAGTCGCGGGTCGAAGGTTTGGACCAATCGCAATTTATCACCATTTTGCCTGCTTCCAATTGATGACTGGCTATTATATAAGTGTTGACCTAAGCCCCTGTGCCGGGGCTCGGCTCCCGAACCGTACGTGAGCTGCCTCGTACGGCTCTTCCTAAGAACTGGAAGCCCCCTCTCTAAATAGAAATTAGAAAAAAATGCAGACAAAAAAGACTTTTTCAAAAAGCCTTCGCCCTCCTATTCAACGGGGCTATTAGAGAAGCAGCTTCGTTCCTTGACTTCTTTGCTCAGTCAAACTTCCTTTTCCTTGTTCCTTAGTGTAGTCAACCTATTGGGAATACTTTTGAAAGAAGATTTGGTCTCAATCAAAAAGAGCCTATTTTCAAGTTCCTTGCCTTAGAGTTCGAGTTGCCAGAGCGGAGAGGAATGGCAGAACTCTTGACCTTACGAGACGAGGGCTACGGTTAGCTCATCTGCCTTCTGGCACTCGGTCTTCCAAGACGGAGACTTTAATTTCTTACTTGACGAGGACATCCTAACTAGATTAAAGTTCTTCTCCCAGGGGAAAGGTAAATGCATTATTTTTGAATGAATATCCGATAGCTGTAGCAAAGGAAGAAGGCGTAGAGGCTCTGCCTTATCTGGTCTCCGGAGATGGATCTGACCCTGGCCCTGGCTTAACCACACTACGACTTATTCAGTATCATTTGAAGACTGCTATTGAAGACTGGAAGCGTGTGTGTGTAACCCGTTGTTCTAGGGCCTAGCTCAGTCCTTTCATTTAACATGGACAAGAGCATTTTTGAAAAGCTATCTCCGAGATTGAATTGACTGTCTATCGTTGAACTGACACTTTACGTCAAGCCATTTTCCTAAAAAGAGGGAACTTAATCAACCTCTAAAGGAATGGCCCTGGGACACGAAGAAGAAGGAGAGAGAAAAAGCATACATATAAAGGCAAGCAAGGCGCAGATAAGAGAAGACAAGAAAGAGAATAAGCAAGAAATGCCCTGTTTTAAGGTCTAAAATATCACCGTAACCTCCACCGAGAAAAGGGGGTTTAACAAATGTTGGGCCACAAACGTTTCTTCGTCCTTCTTGACTTCCTTGACAAGCTGCAAGGCGGAGATCACTGCTTTTTAATTCCTTTCTTTGGCTGTCACTGAATTCATCCGGCAATTGATACCGAAAATCGGCCTTTTAAAAAAGCATCCTTTGATCCAGCTTTCTCTGCTTTAGGGTAAATAACAGCAAAACTGTCCCATGCCACACGGGCAGAAAAATGAAATGGCAACTAGACTAGTTAGTAATTTCGTACTTCTGTCGTTGGGGAGCGGAAATGGCACTTTACAGCAAGAAGAAAGAACAACGAAAGTCGAAGATAGGCTTGTAGCCTCACCGGAATCAGATTCTGTAGCTGATACAACTGATCTTCCTTCATCTCCTTTCCCATCCGCCCGGTGGTTCCGCTGTTGCATGGTTGCGATCCACCATGCCCCATCCTTCCAGTGTACGAGTGCTGCTTTGCTGCTTCTTGGCCTCGCTCTTGCTTTGAAAAGATGGGTCGCAGCCTGGCTCTCCCCTAACGTTCCTAGGACCGCAGTTGCTTTATAATGCTCTTCCTAGTTCAGAAACCCTAGACGGGTTCTTTATAATGATTTTTGTAGGGGACGGATAGCGACAGCCTTCGGTAATAGCATTTTACGTTCGTCATCTTTATAAAGAGCTAGATCAGTATTTTATCTGGGACGAATTCCTACTTACTTTTCTTAGTAATGGTAACGGAGGTATGCCAAGCCAAGGGAAGCTCGGGCCAACCTATGTCTCAGTAGCTGCCCGAGAAAGGACCACTCAATCCAGACAGGTTCTCGCAACTGCCTTTCAAACAGGACCTCGAGAGGCAAGCCATGGAAGTACCGCTAGGTAGGGAGCGAGTTCCTACTTCATTGGATGTCTGATCAAAATGAGGGCTTCCAACTGAGATTCATGAAGAGAGGACCCGTGTCGAGCCTATGAAAGAGTATGCCCGAGTGGAACTGATAAGATCAAAAGACCCGACAGAGCAGGAAGTGACCAAGTGCAGTTGACTACAGAACCTGCCCCGTCTATCTTATCGAGATCTAGAGGATGACCCCTGAACGGATTAAGATCAGCTTCGACCAAACCTAGGGTCTACTACCGGTTCTTTACAAGGGCCGGGCCCACTATGAAATACAGTGGTACGTGAGTCGGAGTTTGAAGCGGATTGCAAGGTAGCTGGGGAGGATAATACTGAATTTCTTTTTCAAAGCTGGAATGTCTCAAACTAGGTGCAGGCCAATTGACCAATGCTTGGGGCCTTTATTTGCTGGGGAGAGAAGGACTCTTTCCTAGAATGTAGCCTATCAGTAGAAACTCTATCCTGGAATTGAGACCATTTAGTTTGGCAGTGAAGCGTGAGTCGTCACTTCTGCACTGGTTGCAAGAACAAGGTTCCTCTCGCACTCGCCCGCATAAGATAGAAAGGAGTCTATGACAACCACGAGTGACTCTTTCTTTACTGGATTGACAACATGAGAGGCTTTACAGACAGAGAAAGGAATGAATTGAATCTGATAGCGGCTTAGGAGACTACTTTTGTATACCCTGATTCAAGGACAAATAGCCTAATTCCAGTGCTACCAATATACTGGATTCTATGGCATCTAGGTGCGCTTTCACCCTTTCCAGCTACCGATTTCTCTCAATCCTAAAGAGTGCAGTCTCAATTCGCTACTTATCGCTTTAGTTTCCACAACCTGTCTGAACAAGAAGTCGACTTATCGGCGAAGGGAATTACGAACAAACTGTATTCGCGGTGAGTCGATGACCCTGTTCTTTTTCTTTATTCGTGCGAGGGGTACTTCCTGTCATATACCGGGTATGGGGTACGGTGGGACTTCTGAGCTGTTGGGGTGAGCTATTGGTCTGGTCCTGACGCTGGGGTGCGAAAGAAAGAAAACAGAGTAGGGGTACCAGCGCTTTCATCCCCAATCCTTCTCAGTAACGAATTCCCTTACAAACTACCAATATAACTCTGCGCCATGCCGCCCGTATCTTTTAGCAAGCCCTACCTCTTAGCTAGCGGAAGAATGCTTTCTTTCTATAGCTATAGTGTATGCTCTAGTTAGCAAGTTAGAAAAGAGAGTTCTAAAATAGGAGAGAGTTAATATTAAATATCCCAACTAGACCTAAATAAAGAGTCTTCCTAGCCAACCTATCTAATGTTCCTACCATTGATATTTACGCTCCAGCTAGTTCAGATTGCCTTCCTTCTCTTGCTGCTGCTCCACATAAGGCTCTCACCAAGTAAGCAAGACTAGCTGGCTGGGTGAAGATATGAGTCCTCGAACTCGCTGGCAGAGCTATGGCTCTAGACTCAAACTCAAATTGAGTAGGCAACTCATGTTCCACTGAGTGGAAGGCTTACAACTGTATGAGCTTATGACTAGCTTTGAGGACTGGCAGAAAAAATAAATTCTCTTTTTGCTATTCGATGGGAAAAGACTGATTTTGAGTAGGCAAAGACTGGACTGGCTAGCCTAATAGGTAAGGGATGAAATAAGAATTTATTGCTTGAACTATAGGAACCCTAGAACATAACCGGCTATAAAAAGGTCTCTCTCCCGCCGATCTATCCTGCTCCTTGCTCAAAGGGACCTAAAAAAGGTTTGACCTTAAACTTTTACTTTCACTGGTAAGGAGGAGACTTCTCCTGCTACTTGTCCATAGAGTAACTTGTACTACGGCTAGAAAGTACTGCTACAAGGGCTGGCTGGATGGACGAGAAAAAGGAGGTTGCATTAGAGCTCCTGGGGCTTGGTGAAGACTTTCTCACTAGGGACAGATACTACTTTCAATATCACTGAGTCTGGAGGTTACCTTTTTACTGCAAATGGATTGGCTTTTAGGATAGAGTAGGATGTCAATTAAGGATCATCAGCTGAGCTAGAAAGAAGCAAGCCATAAAGAAAATAGTATTCTTATAAATAAAAAGCCTATTCCTATTCTAGCAATCCTACTGAACTATTAATCGAAGTACTTAGCACTCTCACTGCCACAATTGGCACTGCATCTATCCTAATGAATTTTGAGCTTGTTCACTTAGCCCTATTCTTTAGCACTGGCTTACTCACAGGAAGCTGGCCTAGCAGAATGACTCTTAGTTAGACTGGTACTAGTTAGGATCTCACATAAGGGAATTCCATTCTAGGAGTTCTCCAAAGCCCTATTATAGTATCGTATCTAAGCCCTATCACATATAAAAGAGAAAAGCTACTAGCCTATTTACTACCCGACTTCTTTTCTTAAACATTGGCATCTTATTCATCGGAAAGAGTGTGGGATGCTTTTTTCATAGAATTCCTATTTATGGAGGATTTGATTACGCCTTTATTCGAGTCCTTTATTCGCCTCGCCCATGTCTTTCCCGCTGTGTCAAGGCCACAACGAGCGGAACTTCTATTTCGCTATTTATTTTGTTGGAACTCTGTAAACCCCTTTAGAATTGAATGATTCAGTGTGATTTTCAGATCCATAACCACCAGTCCCAGCTCCTTAGCCAACATACCCAGATCGAGTGTATTCGCTCCCCCATGAACTTATGCGCCTACCTTCGCTACTGGGACTGAACTTGATCTATTCCAAAAATAGGTGAGCTTAGTGCTTAAACCAAAACAGCTCCTCAAACTCCTGACTCTGGCTCTCAAAATTTAGGATGTGCTTTCTATATGAGGAGGTGCGATTGTTGTGAACAGGTTGGTTGCGGCCTCCTTGTTGGCGAGAAGAAGGTCGTCGTCCACGAGAAGAACCACCACGATTATGAGTAGTGACAAGTGCCTGAGTCTCACTTGAAGAGTCCAACTGAGTCGGGAGATGGGTTTAGGGAATGGGTTACGCGTGCTTACTTTAACTTTAACAAATAGAAGGGATACGCGTCACGAAGATGCTAGACAGATAGGGACGCAGCCCAAAAAAAATAGAAGGCGTGAATTCCGGGAGGAAAGATGCCGACTAAAGGGGAGGATGCTAGCCCAAGGTACCGAGAGAAAAGAAAGATTTTTAGATAGTCTATCCCTGGAAGAGAGCAGATGGATGAGATTCAGGCTAAAAGGAATGGACAAGGGCTTAGAAGCCTTTTGACCTGGTCGAGACATTATAGTGATGAGCCTCTTCGCACTTCGGAGTACAGAACCAGAACTAAGTAATAACCGAAAAAAGGGGCTTACTCCCTTACATTAGTTCTTCTTCTTAAGTTGAATTCAGCTTAATGGATAGACAAATTGCTTTTACCGAAAGCAGATCAAGATAAATTTGACTTAAAAAGGGGTCCGCTGCCTCTAAATGTAGGCGAAGGTTGAGTTACTACGCCCATTTTTTTTCTTTGAGGCGCTAGAGAAGTTCGATTTTAGAGCTAGACAAGACATAAGGGGAAAAGGAAGGTAGGTCAGATTCTCACCCATGGCTAGGGTGGGGACATGGATCTTCCATTACTCATTTGTGCTATCCCTGCCGTGAAAGAAAAAAGACTTCTAATAGTATACCGACCCCTCCCTTACTCAACAGCCCCTCGTTAAGTACACTTCCTTAATTAAGTAAAGTACACTCCTTTGGTCTCGGCTTTCAACTACTTTCTTTTAGGGAAGAAGGCTTGCTTTTCGTTGATCTCTTACTGGGGTGGTGTCACAAGCCGGTTCGAATCCTGTCCCCGCCTAAGAACTTGAGATGCTGGACTCAGATTCTGCTTGAGTTTGATTGCAGGACGTTTTCCAAGTTCTCAATCACCGGAAATTGAATAAGAAAGGAGCTCTCTCTACCATTCCTGGTGAGCGAGCAGAGGAAGAAAACCTCAAGCGGGATAGATTAGAGGTAGAAAGAATGGAGGGTGTGCTCTTTATCACTATCACTAAAGGGCAACAAGCTTCAAAAGAAGGAAAGAAAGATTGAGGGGGTCAGACACGGCTACGACTTGAATTCCATTGCTCCGTTGATAGATCCAGATTCGCATCCGCCCATCTAAGATCTTTCTTCGTGCCGGGTCGTGAGCTATGTGGAGCGTGGGATCTATTAGGGCCTGCACTGCCTTCGCCTAGGACAGACGAAAGGGCGAGAAAGGGCTTGCTGCTGGTTCGGAACTCCCCTATTTGAATTGAGCGCCTATTTTCAAGCTTATAAAAGGAATTGCTTCTATTAACTTTAAAGAGTGTCTCTCCTGTCCGGCTCGATATGAACAAGGTAGGCTGGTAGGTGGGTAGGCTTCTATCCGACTAGTAGGACATGCAGTTCTCCCCTTAGCCTTAGGGCAGGCACGAAAGAAATTAACAGCTTATAAAGAAAGAGGACGACTTAAGACAGCAAGAACGGCCAAAAGCAGTAAGTCACTTGCAAGCCCAGGAACAATTCAAAGAAATCTATGAATGTGTCCCGACCAGAAGAAGCGCTAGCAGATGAGATTGGACCTATAGACTAGGAAAGACAGTCTTGGTGGGTCCCCACAACAGAGTGAGAACTAGAAAAGGGTAATTTGCTTTCACTATTTGAAAGAAGAGATGAATAGGCGGAGCTGAACAAGGACCTTCCTTCCACTCAAAGCTTTTCACTCCACTTGCGCCATCGCCTGCTTCTGATCCCGGGAGGATAGAAGCGGAGATCAGCCTACCTATCTAATGATATCGGCCTAACTCAGATAGTGGAACTCCACATCACTTGAAATGGGTTCCTCATAACGACTGACCTTCATAAAATACGAAACCTTTAAGGGATCCACTTCATTTATATGCCAGAATAAAGAGAGATTTGGTAGGAAAGTGGAAGAGACTTTTTTGTATATGATAATCAAAGGGAGCAGCAAAGCTGCAGTAATTCTTTGGAAAAGCCCGATTCTCTTTGTCTTCGAGCTTTCATTCCTCAATCCACTCTTTCGTTCCTTCATATACCCCCCACCAATAGATAGAAACAAATAGGAATAACCAAACCACGTCTACAAAATGCCAGTACCATGCAGCTGCTTCAAAGCCAACGTGATGCTCCTTGGTCAGATGACCAAGATATTGGCGAATACCACATATGATCAAGAAAAGAGTACCTATAATCACATGAAAACCATGAAAGCCAGTTGCTAAGAAAAAGGTAGAACCATAAATACTATCCGAAATAGTGAAGGGTGCTTGATAATATTCCATTCCTTGAAAGCCAGTGAATACTAGAGCCAGTAAAACGGTAGCTGCTAAAGCATAAACTGCTCGTTTTTCCTTCCCCGCGAGTATAGCATGATGAGCCCAAGTTACGGCAGCTCCGGATGAAAGGAGAATAAGGGTATTAAGAAAAGGGATTTCCCAAGGATCTAAAACCCCAATCCCTTTTGGGGGCCAAATACCTCCGATCTCTACCGTAGGCGCCAAAGAAGAATGAAAAAAAGCCCAAAAAAAAGCAAAAAAGAACATAACCTCCGATACGATGAACAGAATAAAACCATATCGAAGTCCTAATTGTACGACTTTGGTATGATGTCCTTCCAACGTGGACTCACGTAGAACATCGCGCCACCATACAAACATAGTATATAGGATAAATATGAGGCCCAAACTGAGAAGTGTTGCACCCCCTTGAAATGAGTGCATGTACATCACACCTCCAACGGTGGTTGCCAAAGCTCCGAGTGAACCCGAAATAGGCCATGGACTTGGATCTACCAAATGATAAGAATGCCTCTGAGATTCAATCATAAACAACTTTGCGTCGGTTGTATTATGTAAACCTCCCCTTCACCCCTACCTCCTAACGTGGTAAAGAAGGGCTCTTTGGGGTCTAATTTTCTTTATATCTGACAGGACAAACAAATAGGAAGGGATAGTTCTTTCATTGCATTGATAGAAGTCTAACAAGATCTCTCTATTACTTTGACTTTGAGAAGAGAATCGTTGGTTTAACCGACGAACTACGTGGGAAAATGGATCTTCTTTCTTTGATTTTCAGAAAGCATTTTTGGAAAGTAAGAATTCCATTCAGTTCGGTTTTGGAAAACTTGCTGGTCGCGGATTAGTGCGTTCTGCGCCGTCGGCGGCGGCGCAGGTTGATCTCTCTGGTTGAGGCTGCATTTCTTTATGAAACTTGACACGTGGGAAGAGCTTACTCTCCTAGTGGCTCGGCTTGGTCTCGCTCCCTTCCCGAACTATTGCTCCCCACTAAAAAAAAAGAGCGATTGATAAGATAATTTCGAAAAACTTTATGAACATCCGTCTTCGCGGGGCGATTTGAAAAAGAGTATATCTTTCTTGTAGTGCTTTCCATTCCACTATTCTGATCGAGAAAGAATCTCTTCCGAACGACCATAATGAGATTAAAAAACGATGCTTCCTTGGCCGTGTAGAACATGGATTAGCATTATGTCATTCCTACAAGTGATCCCCCATCCAGGATTAAATCCTGTGCCCTTTGAGGACTTCGAGATAAAATAGAATATGTTTCTTTCCATTCCTCGGGAGCCACTTATTTCTCCGAAACAAGAGATCAAAGTTCTTTTTTTCCCAAGAAGTCGACAGCCTTACACCATTGGGATACTTCGAATAAACTAGAGTACATATAGGATACACCGGTGCTAAAACCTTTTCTCAAGATATCTTCCAAACTGTTAGGGTCCTTGCTCCGGATCTTCTTTCTCCGTTGTGAAAGGAGTTGGTTCCGTAGTTTTAGAATTCTGCTGATCCCAAGTACTCCATCTCCATCATTGCATATAAAAATATAGAAAGTAAAGAAGAAAAGGCATAACCAGAAGAATTGTGTAAAATAAGTAAATTTATCCAGTTGAGGCATGCGAAAAAAGAAAGACTAAAAATAAGAAAGTTATTAATGACTGGACAAAACCAAGAAATAACCCCTCACGTGCGAAATTATAGAAGATCCCCTTTAAGATCAAACAATTCCATCGAATTGAGTATGATTGTATGTGTGATAGCACCGTCGAGGTCGAGTCGAGTTCGGGACCTAAAAGATCGAATGGAAGAAGACATAGACAAGTAAATCCCTCGAATTCCCAGTATCTTGGAATTCATCATTCGAAGGGAAGTAGACTACTCAAGAATTTCGCATTGCATTTAGGTCGTAATTGTGATAATTGAATAAAGAATTCAGAAATTCTAAAAAAAAACGGAAAAGAAGAATGAATCAATGAAATGTTGCTTGGTCTTCATTGGGAACTTGAGTAAGGAGTGGCTCCTTTTTGGGTTTTATCCATTTTGAAAGCAGGAACCCTTTATTTTATCTTTATTTGGTGTAACTACTTGAGCCGGATGAAAAGAAACTTTCACGTCCGATTTTGAAGGGGGAGATCCTATAGGATCCTATCCCAATTTTTCTTTTGCTAGGCCCATAGTCAAAAAACCTACTTTCTTACGATTACGAGGTTTATTCGAATATGAAATACAATCTTGGAAATACAGTATTCCGCTTTTTTTACTACCCAAGGGTTCGATACATTTCGAAATCGAGAAATTTCTACTGGAGCCGGTGCTATCCGAGAACTATTAGCCGATCTGGATTTGCGAATTATTCTAGATTATTCGTCGGTAGAATGGAAAGAATTAGGGGAAGAAGGACCCTGAATGGGAAGATCGAAAAGTTGGAAGAAGAAAGTGGCACTCTTTTTATGTCACTTAGGAAGGGAAAATGCATTTAGACGAAAAACACGCTGTTTTCTAAAGTTGTCCGATTTCAATTGACGTCTAGGAAGGGAAATTGACTTGATACCAAAATCACGGGGAAAACGCTCCAATGTCACCATTGAAGTCTCACTTAGGAGGGAAATCGGATTGCAAGCAAAAATCCCGAGAAAATGAAAGATTAGTCAGATCAGGGGGAAGCTGGTGCTATAGCCGTTGTTCAAGAATGGCTTTTGTTCAATCAGACGCTCTTGCTTAAAAAGCTCTAGTAACCGGTGCTTCCTATTGATGCGACGGTAACTCGAGATAGAATCTCTACGCCCTGAAGAATTCCTACCAGCGGGCTTCCCTGTACTCAAAGTGAATTGTCTCAGCAAATGTTGGCCCTGCTAACTCTTATGATGATTCAATTGCTTACACCGGCTACTGGTTGAGCTGCTACGAAAGCAGTTACCTTTCTTACAGCAGGGCAGATGATTTCACAGTTAGCAAATCTTTCTTCTGAACTCTCACAAAAGAGCTTATTCTCTTCCGAAACACCGGATACGGTTAGATCTAATTCTAGCACAACCTCTTCTGTAAGAACCCATTCTTCTTAAACTTCAAAAAGACTTGCAGCGCCCACAGCTGATGATTTATTTCCTTCAAACCTTCCACCAGGAGCGGATTAGGATGCAACTTCTCTTTTCTATTCTTTGGCAGAGCCCCAGGAATGCTTGCTGTCAGCAGTTAAGGGACAAAGGGAAGGTGACGAAGGTAATCCTACTACGGCACTAAGACTAATTCAGTCTATTTGGCGACTATTCCTACTGCTACTACTACAGTTACTGCAGTAAGGAAGGAATTCGGAAACAAGCTTGCTATTGGGAACCCCAGATTCCCCGCATCTAAGCCCGGAAAGGCCGACATTGATTCCTTGCACGAAGAAGCTCTAGGACTTCGATACCTTTCCACTTAGTGGACTACTTTCCAAGCGAAAGATACTGATTCAGTTCATATCTACTCGACTCTATATATATTATATATAAACTTTGACTTAATCTTTTTCCCTGGTCTAGCACTACGATCCCTGGACTGCTCTCTTTTCATTCTAGAAGCGGTAGCTTCCCGCCTCTCATAATACCACTCAACATTGCTGAGGATATCACTCGGGCACCTGGACTCAGTTGACGCGCCACACCAGCTCGGGAATGCAAAGGCAATTCAAGCTGCTGCGAAAGATTTCAAAATCCTATGCCCCCCTCCTTTTTCCTCATTAGCAGCTGTAGGTTGTTTTTCTTTTCGCCGGCCCCCCTCACCCTCGGTAAACAAAAGTAAAAAAGTAGCTAGTAGCTAAACTGGATTCAATTGAGTTGCTTTTCAGAGTGAACTAAACTTATAACCAGAAATTGCATAAGAGAAGAAAGAAGAGAAGGGATGTTCGCCTACTTAGCCTACTCCTTCCTCCGGAACCCTGCTGTTCAATCACAAGCTTCAGCTACTCTTCCCGCCTCTCCTTATTGATAAAAAGTTGAAAAATAGACTTCCTACCGCTCTAAGCGAGAAGATAGAAACAAGGTTTTGCCAAGGAAAGCTCCTAAAAAAAAAATCAAATGATTGCCTGGTTTACTAGGATAGGACGCTACAGACAGGACCAATCCTAGTCGAAAACTCTTCTTGACAGATCCGATTGGGTGTTCATGGGTAGCCTGAGCACCGATCCTGATTGACGAATGCTTTCTTGCTGCTCTCCCTATTCTATTATATTATATAACCGTGTTTATTTACCACGCTGCTGTCCCGGAATAGGCGCATCCTTTGCTGCCATAGAGCGAAAGACAAGAGCACAGGACACTGGAAGAGATGGCTAAGCTCAACTTCAAAAGAAAGAAAGAAAATGAGAGGGAAGAAGAATGCAAGCAACGGATATAAGCGTCCTAGCGTAGCGCGAAAGGACTGTACGCGCAAAAAGACTATATAGAAATATGAAAGTGGAATGAAAGTAGTCTACACTGATAGATTATACAACATTTCCACAAGTAAAAGGTTGAGATGAGACGGCTAGTTAAGGTGGAAAGGAGCTCGTTCCCCTGTGTTCTGTCTGCCCAATCCAGTTTCAGAGGTTCAGAAGGCAAAGGCAACTCTCAGACCATTTGAGTTTACAGACTCTGCCGCTTAGGTGACTACGAGATAGAACATGGGTTCACCCGCTCAAAACTACAACTAGACTACCAGTAGAGGAACTTAACGGGCAAGAAGACCTACTAATAGGAAGAAAAGGTGCTATCCCAATAGGTTCCGGATCGGATCGAGCAATAAGTGAAGGAGCTTGACCAATCCCAATGAGGGAAGTAGCTGAAAGAGAAGCGGAAAGGGACATCTTGAACTCAGGGGGAAGGGACCTTAACGACAACAAAAGAAGTGCGTGCATTTCCCGATCAAAGAAGCCCTTGAACTCACCTTCATTCAACAAAGAAACTTCACGCATGAACTCTCCTCGGGATTGGACTCTTTCTGACAGCCCTTTTGCCAGCGTAGCGCATTGATTGGCACATTGAAGTGGGGAATGAAAAAGATAGGAAGTTTGAACAGCATCTTTGAAGCTACATCTCCTCATGTCTTCAACAGTCTTGAGTTCGGGTTAATGGACGGGAAATGAAAGGAGTGTCCAGCCGCTCGACCATAGAGCACTATGAAAGCCTTGTTTCCAGCAAACCAAGAAGCAATCAAGATTCCACGCCAACATACAGGGCTCATAATGCCTATCCTTTGACGTCTGGTTTCAGGAAAAGCGCAAATGAGAGGGCATTGGAGTATACAGAACCTGGGAATCCATCTTCGTTGATGGCTCTACCAGAGTGGGACCATTCTTCATGGCCCGCGGCCTACGTGACTAAGGGGGATCGTGACCCTCGCGTTTCGGGAATATACACCAAAGATGAGATCCTCGAGTTGGCGGCTGCCTGCCGAAAGAAGAAGAGGTCGCCAGGGGAGGGTAGTCAGACGGTCATTCAAGAGCTGGGTCGTTGAGGGCTTGGACTGATTTTGGGATACCATCATCTGAGTCCCTTCCACCCTGTGATTTGCCTTTACAGACGTTACCATTACTAAGAAAAGTAAGTAGGAATTCGTCCCAGATAAAATACTGATCTAGCTCTTTCGCATCGAGGAAAACCCGTATTTCAGATTAGGCGTCCTTTGCTCGAACGAAAGAGGGGGTCTTTGCCGAGTGGAAGGGACCGATGCTAGTAGTTAGATTCAATAAGTCTTAAATAGAAGCCAAATCCAGTTGAGAAGAGACAAGCACGGTGACATCCATCGAAGGGGTCTCGGTCGATAAGCGGCCCAGGTAAAGCCAGATTTCAAAGGTAGAATGTATTGGTGGCACATCGACCTAGAATAAGTGCTCTAGTCCACGATTCCTGGATTCCAACCTCTCAAAGGAAGTCCAGCTGGTTGGTAGTAGTCTCATTGAAGAAAGGGCAAGGAAGGAAGAAAGCAGAGATAGCTAGAAGTGAAGACCTAAAAAGAAAGAATTGAATTACTAAATGGAAAAGGGGTGCTTTAGATCGTGGTAGTAACCACTAGTGATAGGGAATAAATCGGGGAAGGACAAAGGTAAAAGAAGGATGTTCCATCAAATCAGGATGTTACTGAAAATGGGAAAGAGAGGGGGAGAAGGGAAAAGCGATTCCACAACGACTGCACTGTTGATTGAACAAGTCCGAATACTCACAAAGATCAAAGCCTTGGTAGAAATAGCGAGGCAACAACCACTTGTTAAAGCGGGAATATTCCTCCGGAATCTCGCAGAAAAATCGGCGAATCTAAAAAGAAATTCAGGGTGGATAGATATTGAAAGACTAAGAAAGAAAAGAGAACAAAAAAGTCCGCAAAAAGATATAATAGACTTTCATAAAAAGAAAAAAGAGACGAAAAACAGCCTAAAGCCAAGCGAACAAGAAAGCTACTAGTCCTACATATGATTCCCCTATTTCTACTTCCTATGATGGTTGCCTTTCTGTTGGGCGTCGGGGTTGGTTTAATATTTTTAAGCTGGCGATTATGCTCATTTCTTCGGGTGTGCCTCTTAGGGTTGGGGACAAGGCAATGCCAATTGAAGACGCCAGTTCAATAACAAGAGGAGCAGATCAATAGCCAAAGCGGACCAGAGATCATAGACCAGAGGCTAGTCGTAGATTAGTTTTCGGTAATCAGTGACGAATGCGGCGGTTCCTACTATATATTTTGGTTCCGGTTCAGGTTTCAGGTGCCCGTTGCTGGGCATCATACCTACTATATTAAGAAGCATAGACCAGTGACAAAAGACAACCATGAGAGGCGATTTCGGGACCAAAAAAGTGAGGTGACTAGGGAACAGACTAGTTTGTTTGGCTTTAATTTAAGAAGAAACCGATTCCTCAACAGAGGAGTAGAAGATGGGATCGGTAGAGATTGACCTAAAAGACATCTAGGATCAACTGAATAATGTGATGCTTGACATGGCTGTAATGAAATTGGAAGACTTTGAGCCGTTGTTTTGAATACTTTTGGGAGCACTCGAAAAGGCAACAGATTGGTTTTGCGCCAAAGGAGAAGGAGCAAGTTGAAAAGGCTGATTTGCTTGAAAAGAAGAAAGAAAAAAAGGTTTGACTCTTTGGCAGTAGCTAATCTGAATTCGTAACCTGCCTTCTTGGGCAGGAATCGTCAGATCTTGCCCAGTCAAAGGAGCGATCGACACTCGGTCAGAATAAAAGGAAAGTGCCAGCAGCAGTTCTATTTGTCAATAACAACCTGCGATCAACATATAGTTTGTGTGCCGATATGTATGTTTAGTAGGTGCTCTGGAAACAAACATTTTTTTCGTATGTATGTGCTTTCTATTCTAGTCTGCCCTGGATTTGTAAGCGATTGCCGGTATGCATCCTATTGGTAAGGGCAAAAACCTCTTACTTGGTTTTAACCTTAGCACGAATATCTAAAGGAAATGTAATTACCCCAAGCCTCTTCAGGCGGGCTATGTGTTCGAAGAGCGGATCGAGCTCAGAGTGTTGGTAAGCCTGTCTTAGTAAGGTCGGCTAAGCCGTGTAGCTAAGCACGGCTAAATAGAAAGGCTTGTCCGGATGAGTGGGCATCCTTAAAGCTAGAGCACCGGGGAAGCAAGAGCGATTGTCTTCAAAAGAATTCCCCAACAGGAGAAGGATCGTTACTTTGAGTCCTAAAAGCACCTCTGTATCCCACGGCAATCCTAATGTAATGTGACTTTCCTATTAAGGAACTTGCTTGAAAGGTCTTCTTCTCTTGTCAATGTCAATCTGCAACCAAGTCAAGAGGTAGAACAAAGGCATCCTCAAATGAGACAGATTCAAGCATAACCACTCACTCGGGCGTGGGAAATAAGAAAGGTGGATTCGATCTTACTCCTTTGCCCGCTACAGATTCTGTTAACGAGTTTAGAGCTTCCCAGTCTTGGGCTTATTCCTCTTCTTCTCAAGCAGTAAGAGGGCATGCCTTAAGGAAAGGACTCAGTCTCTCGGGTATCTATCAACATATAGGGATCTTGCCTCTGCCGCTCCCAAGAAATGAAAATTAGTTCTGCCCCGGGAGCAATACTTACCACAGAACCCCATGCCACTACAATAGCGCAAACAATACTTCTTAAGAAGCTTCTCCAGAGCCTTACGAATGTCTTTCCGAAGACGCACCTTTTCTGGGTCATCGTCCTCCGGAGCACCAGACTGGGCGGGCCCTGGCCCGCGTGAAGTGGAGGCACCGTGCCAACCAACCCGATTGTTTCCTTTCATCATATGAAATTTTATTTTTAAATAAAGTAAAAAGATTATAAAAATAATACAAAAAAAAATGAAAAAACAATCGGCATGGTTCTGGGTGTAAAGCAGCTCGATACGGATAGTAGTCTCAATTCTAGATTGAAAAAACAAAGTAGGCATCGCTCTTGACCTTGTCCTCCCCCCGCCCTATCACTAGTGATTACTCCCAATCCAAAGCACCCCTTTTCCATTCATATCGATTTGGGTTTTTCCGCACCATATTTTGATCTGCCTCTTCTTCGATCCGGAATTCCCAGCAAATCCTTGACTCCTCGAATACAATGGGATTTCACACGCTAGCCGAACCTTTTACTCTACCTCCTCTTATTAAGACCATGGAATGTTCCCCGTAAGTGTCGTCAAAGGTTTTCATATCGCTCGAGATATCTCTTTATGGACGAACTCCGGAGGCGGTTGCGGCTGATCCATCCCTCTTCGCTCGCTTGAGAGTCTCTTGCGGTTCATGTTTTCCTCGCCCACGGTTCTTTTATGGTACCTTTTGGTATGTATTGCCCCCTCGCTCTATATCGGATCCACAGAGACAGAAAGTCAATTCGGACTATCTCTCGAGTCATCGGACTTATCCACCGAAGGATTCGTGGAATTTACGTGGATTGCGTTGGGGGAAATCTACCAAAGCTAGAGCGGATAGATAGACTCGCTTTCCTAGCTTATAAGAGAGAGCGAAAGAAAATCAAATGATTGTTTTTTAATCGGCGTCCCCTTTTACTAACAGGGTATGCGGATACTAAGAGTCCCTCTCACTGTACCAACCGGTGAGACATCATGCGTTTGGAGTCTTGCCGGTATCAACAACGAGAAAAAAACAACCAAATGAAAACGATGACTAACGTATGGCTCTTGGCCCAGACAACGTCCTAGGCGTAGGGGGGATCGGAGCAACAGGGAAGGCCTAGACGGACGTTTTTATTCCTGGGCTGCAGTAAGTAGATCGAGAGGTCGTTCCGCCCCTTGTCCCCCAAGATGGGTAATATGTTCTCAATAAATGTTGCTCCAATCTGACCTAGCTGGCGAGCGATCCCAGTTTAGGCAGAGAACAAGACAGCAAGCGAGCGTACCTTTGTTCGCTTCTTCTCCACCAAGCACGGAAGTTTAAGGATAACTGTAGGTCGGTGGATACCTAAGGAAACTCCGATTCGATCCGCCCCCCGGCTGGGAGGCATTTACCTCATCCCGATCACAAGGAGAGGTTCACCATGATGGGGGGGTCCTCTCTTTTTTCCCTTCCGGAAAGAATGCATAGGGGACCATCCTTTTGTTGCGGCATGCTCTTCAGATTTACGGATTCGTAGGGGGCCTCAGGCCCTACTTAGTTGACTGACAATGACAAAGGCTTTCGAAACTAAGTAGGGCCTTTTGAATTGAATCTTAAGTAGTCTATCAGTGGGGCGAAGCTCAAATGACCCTTTTCAGTAGGGGAGCGAAAGGTTAGACCTTCTAAAGGCAGCGAACAGCGGTTCTTCTATGTAGGTATGGCCCCTTGACTCTCCTAACGTCGAGCTAAGTGACTTCGTAACCTTTGCGTAGCGTAGTAGAATGAAGGCTACGCACCGACGCTCTCTTATCTATTAGCCTAAGCTCGCTAACTTGCTCGCCTATTATACTACACCCTACTATACAATACATTAGTAGGGTAGGCTAAGCTAACGCTTACTTCTACTAATGTATTGTATAGTATAGCCTTTTCCTTTTTGAAAAAGCCTTTTTTTCATTATCTTTCATAAGTCAAGTAGGCGAACCTAAAGATCCTTAGTAGCGTTGACAAAGAAGAACAGCCGGGACAGCGAATCTTTTTTTATATCCTTATATTATATATATAATTGTTCTTATATATATGCCAGCTTGACAATTACATTGCCTCTTGATTTGATCTGAGGTGCGAAGATAAACATCTCTTTTTTATGACTTCCACTTATCGATCCCGGCCCGGAAAAGTGACCGACCAGGGCCCTATTGATGAATGGAAAGGGTTTATGAGCCCTAGCCCTTGTAAGCCCACACCTGTGTAGAGTAGATCGTTCAACACCTGCGGCACAAACCCATTTTTACCTATTGGTCCTAGTATCATAGGCGACCGAACGGCCGCCCCCTAATTACTAGACCGACCTGCTATAATAATTCCATAAACACCTAGCGAAGATATGGCAAACAAATAAAGTAGCCCTATGTTCGGATCTGACAATACCATACCATAATCAAAAGGTACAACGGCCCGAGCGACCAGACTTAACATAAATGTAGCCACTGGAGCTATTCTAAAAAGGGATAAATTAGCACTACTTGGTGAAATAGGTTCTTTTAGAATCAATTTCAAACCATCTGCTAGAGGTTGTAACAATCCGAACGATCCCACTACATCAGGACCCTTTCGACGTTGCACAAAAGCCATTACTTTACGTTCAGCTAGCACTAAAAAGGCTACTCCTAGTAGAAGTGGTATAATTATTCCAAGTATTTCAGCTGGAACAGCTATGTACGTTTTCGATTTTCTATTCACTCATGATCTGGCCTGGTCGACCCAATCATGATATTGAAGGATGGGACCTTTTCTCAAAAACCCCGGATCCCGGGAAGAGTTGAAGATGGTGCAACATAGAATCTTGTTACGTTACTTCGAATGGAATCTTAGCCCGCCTCACTTGCTTTCTTTACTACATAAAGACATAAGCGAAGTCCAGGGATTTAATTTCCTTCTAACTAGTGGCTGAGAGTATACCTTCATTCAACAGATTTGTGATTGAGTCAATAACATGCTCTGGGTCTGGAATCTTTGCTCTTCTCTTTTGCATTTCCGCTGCCTGCGTTCTTTCTTCGTGTCCGTTCATATCGCAAAGCGGGGCGACGCCAGCTATAATGGTTGGTTGAAAAGAGCGGGGCCAACCAAGACCCCCTAAGAAAGCTTTGTTCGATAAAGCAAACGATTCGTTCCGACAACTTCGGACCAGATTAACCCTTTGAATTAGCCGATCTTACAAAATCGATCGGGCGGGCTGGTTGGGAAGGGTTTATTAGCGGAGAAAAGAATCGCTGAGAGATATATTCTACTATTTAGTCAGAACGAATGAGTGGCTGTGCAGCATGCTCCGGAGGAGATTGACCCTTCCCCGAGTCAGTCCAGTCAGTAAAGGGGAAGGCCTGCTGTCTAGACTGCATTTCGGGAGTTTGAACACCATCCCATTTCAACCAAAAATACAACCCTGTCAAAGGTATCTAACCTTCCTTCCTTATGAGTGGAAATCGAATCCCGTTTTGTCTTTTTTTGCATAAAAACTAGCCAGCCCAAATCTTATATATATATATTACGTTAACGTTACGAAATTTGTTACATATCTCGTTGGGGAGTCGACCCCACACAACAACGACCATTCACTTGAACTCTAACTGTCGCCCGCTAAACCACTTAGCTACCGTGGTAGGGCTGTGTCAGGTTGACGGCTAGTGAGAACTTCTTTTCTTCTCTGCAGGCCCGGGGGAGGGAGTTATACTTGAAGTTTGCTGATCTACCGGTAAGGGAAGCGCTGGGCTTTCTCAGTTCTGTCCCCTCTCTTTGCTCTCGTTCACCAGTGTGGAGGGCGGCGGATCCGCTTTCTCCTCTAAAGTTAGGCCTCTTTGACGGGGGCGAAAAGACCACTGGTCTTAGATTGAAAGCCGAAGTCAAGTATTCTCGGTGACGATATTGTCATTGCAGATAGTAGGATGGCTGAGGGATAGCGGGGCTTTCCTTTGAACCCGAAAAGCCTTTGTGATAGTGGGTGCTTTGACTTTGCCAAGCCACGGGCGGATAGCGCCTCTCTCCTCGAATGTGTGCGGACCTTGTCTCCTCGCTGGCCGTCATCCCGGTCCTTCGTCGGGTTCCGGTAGAGCCTCAGTTGAACCTGGCCTTACGACTCTTTTGGGCTGGCTATCGGGTGCTAGGCTCATGGCGCACCCGGACGTCATTGCTTTCATCTGTGGTTGATATAGCATGAAGCTTTCAAGAAAGCTTCCCTCCTCTTACCTTTTTGGATCAATTGAACAACTTGACAGATTAAAAATCAATTCCGAACCGCTATAGAAGCGAACGACTTGATCGCGAACTATACTCTTTGTTTTTTCGACTGACCGACTCGAATCGATTGGGCTTCGTTCCGGGTAGTGTTTAGTCATAAGCCTTTCTCTTTGGGTTTTCACTTGTCTGCTTTCGTTCCACTCCTTTACAGTGCTTTAATTAAGTAAGAGTTCAAAGAATAACCTATAAGAATAAATTTTTTTAATACCCGAAGTCTCTCGGAACTGACCTCAGCGACTTGAACTTCCTATCGGCTTCGAGCCGAAAGACAGTGAAATGGAACCCGGAATAGATCTAGCTTTACGAAATCTTTTTAAGACAGTCAGTCATCGATTGACTGCTATTCCCACTTCTGAGGAGTGAAAGGCTGGAAAGCAGTTCTTTTCCTAGGTTGACTCATGAGTTGGTGTGCAAGACCAATTGCTAGGCTCTCCTCTTGCTTAGATGTTCTAACAGCGGGATTTTAGCTTTGCAGGATTTTATTCCAATTTGAGTAGAAAATAAAAATTCTCTTTATTCCTCCGTTCATACGTATTTCATACATTCCATATTCATATATGGAGTTAGATAAAATTTTATGTGATTCTGTAAACAGAATATCAATTCCATCAGTGCTGGATCGATCCATATAATTTATTGAAAAACGATCCAATAATGGGATTTCTTTTTCAATAAATGGGAAATTAAAAATGCTTGGGGATGGAAATGGGGGAATGTCTACAATACCTGGATTTAATCAGATACAATTTGAAGGATTTTGTAGGTTCATTGATCAGGGCTTAGCAGAAGAACTTTATAAGTTTCCAAAAATACCCTATACACCCCTCTGCCCCTTTAGGGTATATATAGCCAAGGCCAAGTATCCTATACAAACCCCAGCCACTTTAGGGTATATATAGCCAAGGCCAAGCTGCTATAGTATACAAATACACTCTTATATTATCTTTTACCCTATACAACCTTCTGCACCTTTAGGGTATATATAAAATACACTCTTATATTATCTTTTACCCTATACAACCTTCTGCACCTTTAGGGTATATACACTCTTATATTCTCAAATACCCTATACTAGCCCCGATAAATCCCAAGATATCATCGCCGGTCTTTCTCTACAATGAGAATTGAACAGGATTCTTCTCATTACTGTTAGAGAGAGTGGATCTTTATATTTAAATAAAATGAAAAAAAGATCCGGGGTAAGGCTAAGGGGGCAAAGCGGAAGGAAGAGAGGCTAAGCACTAGGCCAATGGTAAACTTGTCCTCTTGTCCATAGGGACCTCGTGGCATACAACCGAAACGACTCCCACTAGATAGCCGCCCCTTTCTTTCTTTTTACAGCCTCGTGGACGGACGAAAGAAGGGAAGTTACAGAACGGGGCAGTGGGCTCGCGAAGTAGACAGCAAACAACAGCTTCTCAGCCCCCTTTACTTTATTATATATATATAACAAGAGCGATTATATTCATATATATTATACAAGCGCTAGCGCGCCCCTTTCTCTAAAGGGGCGTAAGCACTTCACTCGCTAGGGGATGGGATTCATTCACTTGCATTCCTGCTAGCACTACAAAAAGCTCCGGTCTTAACGCCCTTACTACTGCTGTGCAACCTTTCCTCGGGTTCGTAGAGTCGGGTTTACCGTTTACCCACAACGGGGGAACCGCCCCCACCGAGCGGGCGGCCACGGGTCATAATGCACTCTTCGCACAACAAATCCACTTTGAAGTTGACTTATTCGCTCGACCAATCGTCGGAATGTGTACGAGATACCATAAGGGCCCGATATCTCAATAGCGCCTTTGTCTAAAGCTTCGAATGAGACTTCATATCCAAAACGCAGGAAAGATCCGACTAGAAAGTCATTCAAAACTTGATCGAAGAACTAGCGTTTATTGAAGAAGGTATAGACTCGATTACAAAAAGTACTAGTTTGAAAGGCTCGTTGGAATTGATCCGCTACGGGATTTACATTATACGCAACAGAAGCACCTGAAGTACTAAACAGAATAGGTATTAGTTTGGTAATGGTTGGAGCAGCAAACTCGGATTCGGCAAGAATCTCATTTTTTGGTAGTACAAAGGGGGAATTGGCCCAAAAATGGGATAGGGGTTAAGACGCAGTCGGGCGCCGGCGGCTGACTCAAGTGCCCCCCCGAACCGCGCGAAATGGTCGCCTATTACACGGCTCACTAACTCTGCCTGAGGTGGGGGTACCTATTATTCGTCGGCGGTCCGGCGCACCCCTACTCACTTAAATAAAGGATGCTGCTTAATTACGAAGGTTATTTATACTTAATCTAGAGAGTTCTCTTTCGTTAAGCGCATCGAGCCGGGAGTGGACATCATCATCTACGGTGCGAGACAAATCCGGATCCTGTTTCATCATTAGCTTAGCTAAAGTGGAATAGTATGACCGGCTTTCCGAAAAATGAGACGAAACCGAGCTTTTTCGAAATGATCAACATGCGCTCAAAAAGACCTCCTAAACCCCCTTTTGCCGAGTGATCGAGTTTAGTCCGAGTCCGAATTTGTCGTATCGGTTGCTCCCGCTCCGGAGTCGACTTCAAGGAAAGATAGGATTAGGCAATTCTGCCGGTTCCGGAGCTTACCTTATTATTATGAAAAGGGGAAAGGGATGTTGTTGACGAACTCCGTCGTTGTTGGAGAACGATCTATCGCACTTAGCCTGGGAGGGAGGTTGGTGGCACACATTAAGATACTCCCGAGTAGGATTAGTTATCGAGTCGGGCTACCTAACTCCACCCCTGGAAGCTTTAAGCTACCTTTCTACGGCCTACGAGATAGTCTTATAATGCCGGTTATGATGCTTGCATAGGTCCTATTGGATTGGAGCCTAAAGATTGCCCTTTTTCGGTAATAGGAATGGTAGACCTCCGAAGAAGCTTCTACCTACGAATCGGACCCATCGATCGAAGAAAGGGCGATATGGAATGGGTAATTCCACTACAACTAATTTATAGATAGGAGAGCTGCTCTTTCCCTTGCTTGTTGGGGCATCTTGCATCCGACAAGTCATATGGTCCCTTATATAACTCGTTGAAGGGATTCCTTTCCGTCGATTAAGGCAACCGCTCGTCCCATCACCAAGATGGGGAGTTCATGCATTGTTCCTTCATTTCCAAGCAGCAAGAGAGGGAAGTACAACATGTGGAGAAGTCTCCTCCTTGATCCAAACTAACATTCTTACGTCCAAAAGAAGCCCTTCGGGCCCTATCTTCCTTTCCGCACCGCTTCCTTATCCAGTAGAGTCGGTAAACTATCTTTATCCCGCCAATAACTTCTCCTTCTCACTTCCCTAGGAATGAATGATCAGCTGCGTTAACGAAACAAAAAGGGGCCCCTTACGATTAAAGACGGGGCGTGCCTCACTGCCAACGAGCATCCGCTTCAAACAGCAGCAATCGTTGAAATACCGACGAGTGCCCACTAGATCGGCTTATACGGGAGTCCCCCATGTAATGAATTCCTAAGGATTATTCCATCACTCGGAATGTGGCACGTAAGTCACTCGGGATTTTTCTAGGTAACATTGAATCATGGCATAAGGTCCTATAATGACCGATGTAGCGACGAGGCACCCATCGCGGTGCTCGGGAAAAGACGTAGTTCATATGACAACTAAGCAAGTGACGGAGTGAGGGGTCAAACTCAATGTCGGCAAGCCTCGGGAAAATATGGGTAAGCCCGATGGTTCAAGTCGAGCCTAGCCAACAACCAACATCGGCTTCTAGGGATAGTAGGAGCTCCGGTTGCTCCAACCATTCTAGTGGATCGATCGAGGCCGGCGGCTATGAATACCACTGTGCCGGTTGTGCGAAGGCAGACGGATCGGGATCGAAGAGAACTCCGGATCTATGAATAGCCAACAAACGGACCTAGCTCGATTCTTGGAACTAAACAGACAACCCTACCTTACTTATCGAGAAGGAGTACTGGGACTTAGTAGATCGATTGTAGTTCTCTTTCCCCTAGCGGCCTTTCCCGCTTTCCGGTTGCAAGGTTTTGAGCTAACTATAGGATTTGCTTCCTAGCTACTAATACTAATTAGTAGTAGGGAACTTCGAACTAAAGATTTGCTTTAGCTCATGTTTCCATCCGTCCTGTCCACTCACCACTTATCTCAAAAGCCACTATTTGAGATCTACGAAGTGAATTCAAAATCGGTCTTTGTGGTTCCATTTCCCTTACGCTCGCTTTTGCTAATGCTACTCGGAAAGAACGAGCTAGGAGACGATTAGCTCCAAGTGCCGAAGTCCATAGCTCCTATGATCGCGAGTCGCGGCTTGCTTTGTTCGCATCTCCGTAACGGCCTTGTAAAAACCTTCCAACGACATCTTTAGCCCTCGATCTCTAACGTTTCACTCCGAGTTCACAGTAGCAACTAGAGCAAGTTGCCTAGCTACAAACTCAAAAGCACGGATTTCCGATCCTTACTTAGCTTAGAGTCCCCCAAACGGATGCCGAGCTGCTGTAGCTAGCCTAGGAGTTATGTTGTTAGGGGGCCTCGGGGATCTTACTTACCTAAGAGCTAAAAAGGGATATGGGGTTGATGTCTATAGAACTCTTTTTCTAGTACCTTCGCTTGCGTGAGCAAAGGCATGAAGTGAAGGAGCAAAGGAGGAGGTAGCAATAGCATTAGCCCTGTCATTGGTCTTTCTATCTTTCTTTTGTTTTCAGGAAGACGGCCCATCAGGAAATGGAGCTTGAACTATTCATAACTCAAAGGCTTAGGGGAGGGGGATCTCCTCCAGCCATCCACTCATTTAGTTCCAGCCCTTCCTTAATCTCATAGACATGTCTCATCATTCGTGGGGGATCGCCATCGGATCATTCGTTGAAAAGATCCGAGGAACATACCAATCGGTAGAAGCAGCCGCAGGAGTGCT